TGTAAAAAACAACTACACAAAAATGGAGGCAAGTAATATTGTTACTGATGTAGTAGGAAAGGGAATATATCATGCCATATGTGTTCGTTCTTGAGCACATGATTATGTAATAACTCACCAAATTCCTTATTCCCGTCGAGGACATCATGCTAAAATATGGAGTTTTCTCTAGGATGAGAATATACTCCTTCAAGTAAAATCATATGTTCGGAAGCATAAGTGAGATATTACTCCATATATACTAATGGTACATATGAACGAAGTCATTTTACCAGGACTTGGATTTGTATCATCTCTGACTATACATATCAATATAGCAAGAAACTATTTAAAAGAATTAGGGTATACATACGCTAAGGTGAAGAAAGGAATGTATATAGACGGACATGAAAGGGAAGATATAATATCCTATAGAAAAATATTTTTAGAACGAATGAGTAAACTTGAAGATAGGATACCTATTATTTCAGGAGATAATTTGGAAAAGATAACTTGGCCAGACAATAATGCGCAACCACTTATCCTTGTCACACATGATGAGTGCATTTTTCAGCTTATGATGGAAGTCGAAGTCTTTGGATTCCTAATGGAGAACAGCCTTTAAGAAAAAAAGGTAATGGTTGTTCGATTTTTGTTAGTGATTTTCTAACTGAAGTTTGTGGCCGCCTTGCTCTTTCCGACGAAATGCAGTCACCAGATAGTTTTCCCAGAGAAGCCTGTGTCATTATGCATCTGGGAAAAAATAGTGATGGATGGTGAAAGGCTGAAGACTTAGTAAAACAGGTAGTTGAACGTGCTATACCCATATTTGAAGCACATTTTCCAGGATGCCAAGCCTTATTTGCTTTTGATAATGCATCAATTCATGCTGCTTTTTCACCAGATGCATTTGTTGCAAAACGTATGAACCTCAGTCCTGGTGAAAAACAGCTGAAGATGCATAGCACATATTTTGGTGATGGGATTCAATAGGACATGATTTTTTCATTAGATTATTATATTCCTAAGTTACGTGAACAGCCAAAAGGACTAAAACAAGTTTTAATAAAAAGGGATTGTGGCCAAACGAAGGATTAAAATTAGAAGAAGCACGAGAAGTAATGAGTCAGCAACCAGACTTTTTAGCACAAAAAGGATAATTAGAAGAGGCTATTATTGCAGTTGGACATCAAGTTATATTTTATCCTAAGTTTTATTGTGAGCTTAACTACATTGAGAACTTTTGGGATGCAGCAAAAAAATTTAGTCGGCTGAATTGTGATTACTCGTGGACAGGATTACAAAAAACGGTTTCATTGGCCCTTGCTTCTGTCTCACTTACAACTATCCGCTGGTATGCAAGAAAAGTGTTTCGTTATATGGATATGTATCGAAAAGGCTTAACAGGATAGGCAGCAGAATTTGCAGTTAAAAAGTATCATTCGCATCGTCAGATTCCTGATTCAGTTGATATCTAACAAATTAGGTTCTTTTGCATAGATTTATTTACACCAGCTAAAGGCAATAGAAAAGGGAAAAATTAGTGAATGCTTAATAAAATAATGTATTTTTTGAAACAATAAAGGCTTATGTTATGGTTTTGAAAAGAACATTTGCTATATGCAACGTTTGAATTGTTCGCCTTTACTAATGTAGAAACGATTTTGTTTTATTCTCTGTTTATTACATAACATGATCAAATATGGTCAGTGTTACGAAGTATAGTAAATCAGCCAATAAACAATGAGAATTATGATCACGTGTATCACGTGTAGAGCGGACAAAATATCTGATTTATTAGTAAAATGCCTTGACTTTAAATTGCTACTACTTCGCTAAAAATCATTTTATAAAAAATCTAACACTATAGTTTTGTTAAGCTTAAGCTACTCTATCATTCTATAGTTACATTTTGTATTTATCATTTTTTTTGAGTGAGGATTAGCAATTTGAATTTTGTTAAATTTATTTGTTAGGACTAAGTTGTATGCACTGTAATAAAAATAATAATAAAATCATATTACGAAAATAAAATAAATATACCTTCTTGCCCACTTCTGTCCTGCTGCCGCCTGCGTTCAAGAGTCCCTTTCTACGTCGGTCTTGGTTCGGTAAAATACTGCTCCTTCTGAGTTAACTCCTCGTTACCTATAATGGTTACGCGTTTAATAAAATAAAGAATATTAAAAGTTAATAAGTTTCTTTTTAAAAACATTTTTTTTTAATTTTGTTTAGTCTTGAAATATGAGTTGTCGCGTGAAAAAAAAGTAAATTATTTAGAAACATGTAATATATAATAAAATTGTGATAAATTACATCTTACTACATACTATTTATTATTCAAATTGAGAATTAGAATTGACTTTGGAAATCATTTTTGAAAAATCTATCGAACAATCGTACCAAAATAAATATCTATTTTGTCATTACACATGAATTTATCATTCACCCGACACGGTCAAAATGAAAAAATTATGCGAGCAAGGTAAATATTGATGTATCATTTATTACTTTCAAATTTTGAATTTTAATTATTTTTTAGATGAAGTTAAACATTGCGAATTTTTAGCAAATGCAAAATAAACAAACAAACGATACTTGTAAGACGGTCAAGCAAGAATTGGAGGACATATCTAAAACTTTAACCTTCTTAGAGTTGTCTGGATCTACAATGTGGTATTCTGCTGTCGCACAACCCTAAGATATTATTTCAATTCCAATCCTTTATGATATCACCTAAAACGAGTCAACTATGGATAAAAAAGCCTTATCTTTTAAGAAAAGTCGCAATATTGTTTATAGTAAGAAAGAATTTAAAGAGATAAGAGAGAGTGATTACAATACGCCTTTTCTAAATAGAATTCATTAGATGATCCATTCATTACAAAGATGAGTATGATAATAGTGTGTCATAATAATTCATGAAGTAGATGTACTTTGCTTAAAAAATAGGGATCCTGCAAATGATCAGTAACTAATGTATCTGTCAATATCAAAAGGAATTGATAAACTGAAAGCGTACACGAAATCTTGTCACCGATTTCATTTATCGCCATAAGATTTATTTCTATTTGCAGAACATTCGAATAATCAAATATTGGATGAAAACTTAGGTTATGTGATATTAAAAGGTCTGAAAATTTAATACGTTTAGAAAAAGTAACAATTATATTATGAATAGTTCAGACAAACATATATCGTCTAATTACGTAATATGAATGTCAAGATAGTTTATGAGATGAATCAAGAACCAGATTTGTGACCTTGATTATCAAAACAGGTGAGATGCTATTATTTAGTCCACCATTAAAAAAAAATTAAATGAATATAAAAACTGTTATAACATAATTCATTTTGATATCTTGATGGATTTCACGATAAAGTTAGTTTTTCATACAAAAATTTCTTATAATAAATTTTTGGCAAATCATTATAAACCATACGATCGACTTATATATTATGTCATGGCTTCAAGTGAAATGCTGTTCAAATAGAAATATATTTGAGCAAACGAGAAAATCATTTCTGACAAAGGGTAATGTTTAAACGTGATACTTTTAGCACACTCAAATTCCACGATTGTCAGAAATTAGTATTGATTTATTTATTTTTTATCTGTTCTATATAATGTAAGCTTACCCAGCCCACATCATTTATAATATATGTGGTATTGGATTACATACATATATGCACCAAAATTATATCAAATTTTTTTGGTAACTGTGATTTATTTTATTATAGTAAACATAAATAAAATGCCATTGTGATACATAAAAGTGGTGTCATATAAGTGCACAAAAAAATTTTTACATTATAATGTGAAAAATTTGCCACAGCGATGTGATCTTGGAAAAGAACTTAGTGAAAGTCAAAGAGGAGGATTATTGCAGCAAAAAAGATAGGCCATACAAATACTAAGATTTCTGCAGTTATTAGCTCTCCTTCTTCTGTACGACATGTATAGGAAGCATATGAACTAAAAAAAACTTCCAAAGAAACAAATAGGTCAATCACAAATTCTTAACTAGTTAGAAACAAAAAAAACTGTTATCAATCCCTCTCACAAATACTTTTAAATGTTGCAAATAACAAAGAAAACTATTTCTAAATAAACTATTTACAATGAATTCGCAAGGTAATGACTCACATATTCCTCAGTTCAGTCCATTAATTTCTAAAAAAGTAAAAAAAATGTTTACTTTGAGCTCATACTTACGAAAATTGAACAGATGAAGATTTCAAAAAATCATTTGGTCAAACAAGTCTACTTACACATAATTTAGAACTTCAGGTTTTAGCGTATATGGTATGAACCTTCTGAAGAATTTCATAAAGACTGTATTGCAGCTACAGTTTAAAAAAAATTTAGTTACATGTTAGGGAGTATTCTATTGGGTTGGTATGGGTCCTTTGATCCCTTTGGTAGGTAGCATAACTGGAAATACACATCATGAAATTTTGGTTAATTATACGATTTTTATGGTTAAATTTTATGCAAAAAAAATCAAAAAAATTGTTTTTCAAGAGGATAATGCTGTTAAGCCTAATCATTACATTATTAGGATAACAAAGCTTATTTGCTAACCCTATAAAAAATTTTATCCATGATTTCTGTAAAAATTCCGTTAATTTGATACATTTACGGAAAAATAACTAAAAATCTAAGTAACTCAGGATAATTTCCATGTTTTTTAGAATATAAGTTCCGGGAATATGATACATTTATGGAAATAAAATGGAATTTTAAATCACGGAAAAATTTTTTAATAGGGTAATAGGGGTTTAAGTTATAAATTATAAAAGAAATAAATATGAATTTATTTAAGTTGAAGGTTAGGTCATCTTTATTAATGATTTATGTTTAAGAAAATAAATATTAGCAAAGATATAGTTTTTATGTTGTTAAGATTATACTTTATTAATTGTATAATAGAGACTTATTAGTTTGTCAAGGTAACAATATAGGATATTTATATAAAATATAATTATAAGGAAGAGATAACAAATATAATAAAGAAAATAAATATAATTATAATAATGAATATAGTCAATAAAATAATGATAAACATTATAATAAATATAATAAATATTACAAACAATGATAACTATAATAGTAGTGAAATTAGTGAAAATAATGATAACAATTTTTATAGTAATTATTGGTGACATTAGTTAGCCAGTCATTTAGTGGTGTAAACTAATTTTCTCTAATAACATGCTATTTATATTACAAGAGTCACATATTCCTTAATCAAAACTTTAAACATTGAATTACTTTCTTGACCAGTTCAGAGCTTTAATATAAATCTGATAGAAAATATTTGATTATATATCAAGATTAGAATTCATCAATGTGACTTTTAACTATTGAATATTATATAATTGAAAAAGTGAATTTTAGAGAAATGAGATACAGTACTTGTAAATTATTATCACAATTTGATCAAATTAATGTTGCATCAGATTTAAGCCATTTTTATAATAAATAGTAGTTTAATAAATATTAATCTAAAATTTTAATAATATAAAAAAAATAAAATTAATATGTTATTTATGTCATAATAATTTTTAAAAAATGCTAATAATTTTTATACTCTCTTTCTTAGATAAAGTTCTTCTAAGATTTTATCCAGGTATTTTGTATAAGTTAGAATAGTTTCTTTCTTTTTGCTATATTCACATATTTTTTAAAACAGAATAAATATCAGTTTCCTTATTTTTTAGGTTCATTTCTTTCAAACCTAATCTGATTAAATTTTAATAATATAGATATCACAATCATAATTATTATCATTAAATAGAAATTCTAAATTATCAGATTTAATAGATATGCTTATTTTTTCTAATGTTTCTCTAATCACTACTTGTATTGAAGTTTCAGTTAGTTTGATTTTTTCTCCTGATACCTACTATATTTAATACATTTTTTTTTGTGATTATTTCTTTTTGACATATAAATATCTTATTCATCATACATAATATTCATTACATATTAAAGTTAAATATTATTTTTAACTTTACTTAATAAAGCTTCAAATTCATCAAGTTCTTCATCTTTATATTCGTTTAATATTTAATCTAGGTCTTCTTTTTCATCTATAGCTCCTTTCTCAAAAAGAATATTAAATGTTATTCTTTTTGTTAAATAGATGATTGATGTAGTTTGTATACTAAAATTAAGATTCATTTTAATTTTTGATACTAATTTACTTCTAATAATAAGGTATTTTAAGAAGATTTAATCACTTGTAATTCTACTAAAATGAATATAATTTGTATATTTACTCTTGCATTAGTGATTTATTTTAATATTTCCATTAGCAGTAGTTACAAATAAATGTAAAGATTTATTAATTATTAGTTTTAATTTCTTTGCTAATTTATTCATGATGATACTAATAATTGCTTTAGTATAAATAATGGCTTCTATAGGATTATTTTTCATTCTAATATATGCTTTATAAGATTTTATCTTTTTTCTATTAATATTTTTTAGGAATTCTATAGAATTAATATTAGGTAATAATACTAAATGTCTCCTTAAAGCTTTTGTTAAATTTCTTCTTTAAGCTGATATTTGTAATCATTATTCCCAAGTTGTTGAGAATTGTTTTTGAAAAATGCTATTAGAAATATTATATAGTAGAAGGTTGTTAACTATCAATGGATTTCTAGTATTTTTTATTATTTTCAGTTTAAAGAAGGTTCTATTTCCATTTTTTTATGATTAATAATCTGAGTTCTAAGTTTTATTTCTTTTTAGGATTCTAAAGTCTATGCTATTTTTTTTTATTTCTCTTTAATATTTTTTCTGTAATAGTATATAGTCTTGATCATTTCTCTGCATATACTTCATACTTCTTCTTTCCTTCTTCTTCTATTTCATTATATTGATTAGATTAGTATCCCTTTGTTTTTCTTTTGTTTATTTTTTAATAAGCAATCTCTTATATAATGACTTTTCTTATTATACTGATAACAAGTAACTTGATTAAAATCAAAAAACTTCTTGTTTAATGTTATTAAATTCCTTAATAGCGCAGTTTTAAATTTTGAAATTTCTGCTTGAGCTACTAAAACATTTATAATATTTATATAATTTAAGGTAAGTTGCTCCATTTGTCTCATTAAAGTTTTAATTGCATTATTACTAGTAGGTTAGAAAGGTTCTTTTATATAATATAAATTTACTTCTACAGTTTTTGCTACTCTAATAGCAGTATTCAAATAATTTGAATCTTTTATCGCTACTTTTGTGATAAAACAGATTAACCCATTCAAAATAATCGAATTTAATAATTATCTAGTAAAGCATTTTTTGAACTTACTAATCTCTTAAGGTTAGCAAACCTGACACTGTAAGTTTCTACATTCTCATTTAATAGTTATTTAATATTAGATAGCTTATGATGCTATTTATTCTTTTATGTAGTAGTTGTAAAATATCGTTGAAATAAAGTTACAAAACTTATATCTCTATTACTATTATTATTACAATATACCTAATATATTTATAATATTATTAAACTATAGAGTAGCTGATCCTTTCAAATATCTAGTGAAAATGCTACATTTTCTAGAATTTGTCCAATTGTTAGCTATTGTTACTGCTGTTTCAAAATGCTTAAGCCATTCTTCTGAGTTTTTATTTTTATTTTCCTAATATAGTTATACTGCTATTATATTTAATTCTCTAGATAA